AGGGTCTGCCAAATACTTGCTGAGCAGCTTCCCATATTCCTGTTCCTTAGATTCACTCAGGGCCCCCACAAGCACAGGGACGATGGTAAACTCGTCTTTGTGGCTGCAAAATCAGATTATTACATTAACAACTTGGGCACTTAACTGCAACTTGCTGTCAAAGTTGTGTACAATGTTCAGCAATGGAAATTAAAACTGCAAGAATACAGTTAGATGCATCTGTAAAAAAAATAATGTGAAGAGTACAACCTGGTGCATGATGAGTAATAAGTAATAATGTTTCTCTACAGGTTTTAGGTAAACTTTATACTATCTGATCCCTGCTTTTCTGAACCAAGAAAATGTCATTTACTTCTGCAAACCTAATAGAAGGATTGCTTCTTATGTGTCCCTGCATCAATGTTATTCTAGTTTACGACATAGAGGCGAAAAATAATAAAGACAGAAATAAAATAAAAACTACTGTACTGCATTCTTGCTTGTTCAATAATAGTTCATAGCTTTAGTAAAAGTTTCATTCTGTGAGACATTCTACTCTGAAAGCGTATATTGTGTCAATTATTTAGTAGTGAATGCCACTCTTATATGCATTACCTCTCCATGGCTTTAGCAGTGTAAGGCAAGTGCATTTCAATACTGTGCTCATCTTCATCTGTCTGCAAACTGATCCGTTCAAACAACCCAGTTTTCCAGAGGTCAGAGTAAACTGTGAAAACAGAGGTGAGTTTCACTTTAATTTGTGCAAGTTCAAGGCCATGACAACTAATTAAGTCATTTTTGGAGATCCTTTAAATTACAAGTGCCGAGCGAACCTCATTGTTGATAAAGCCTTTATCCTAAGAGTTGGGGAAGTGTCTGGTCCCCGGAGGATAATTAAAAGGGTATCACCTCCAAAGACTGTTTGAGGTCTTGGACCTCTATTCGGGCTAGATTATGAAGACAGGGTCAAACATAGCTCTAATATGATAATAATAATAATAACTTTATATATATTGCACTTTTCTTAACAATGTTAAAACCACAAAATTAAGAACAAGAAAAAATAGCTGACAAAAAGGACATTGGTCAGATAAGAGATAAACCAGTATAGAAAATAGATAATAAAAATACATTAAAAAAACAGTATAAATAAATGTAAATCAAACATTCCAAAAAGCTATGAAAATAATAAAGTTTTGAAATTTGAGAGAAGCTGGAGAGGTAGTGTCTGAGTTTAGTGGGCAGAGAGTTCCAAAGTGAGGGGGCTCTAATAGCTCTGGTTGTACATTTTTACCCGCCATGATCAAAAATGCCTAAAAATCACTTAATAAACCTCAACTGCAATTTAATACAACTGTGACATGATGATCTGTCACATTACTGTTTAAATACCTTTCAAAATAATTGTGAGACTGAGCCACAAATAACAACGTGCAAATAGGGAAAATAGTGCATACCCTTCCGGTCGATTCTGAGGTCATAAAGAGGAGTTCTATAGATGTCTGCAGGTGTCAGGGCACAGCGGGAGAGGGCCACATGGTGTGAAGGTCCCAGAATGAAGATCCTACGACTGAGGGGCAACAAAATGTAATCTCACTCTGTTCAGAAAAGGCACACTGCCCCACCATGTACTATCTGAACTAATGAGATCATAAGAAACAGCCATAACAAAGAAGAAATGTGAATAACTTACGTAACAGAGGGATCAACCTGCTTGTAGGCATGTGCCGCACAAGCACCACAGTAAGTGTATCCAGCATGCCTGCAAACAAAAACATGTGAAATTACAATGAGATGCCATCACAGACACTACTCCACATGTTCAGATTACATTTTCTTCCAGTTGTCAAAAGGTGCTTACGGCGCTATGATGGCTCTAGCAGGTCTAATGGTGGACTGTGCTTGGGACAGCCAGCCCTCGAGTTGTGCATTCAGCTGAGATCCTGATGAGGTACAATGAAAAAAATATAAAATATAACTTTTCTTCAAGTCACTGGGTTATAAGAAGTCCCCAACTCATACTATTCTCTCTCCCTCCCAACAAGACTGACAGTGACACTGTGAGCCAGGTGCAAAACAGAATTGTCTGATCAACAGACTGGACAGACACAATAAACCAAGGATCCAAATAAATGTTGGTATGAACCTCTCACTGTAACACAAAAGAGATTGGAAACTTCTTTACTGTAGTGTTTGACTGTACTGGAACACCCTGTCCTGTTTTACTGTGCAGACTACTAGAGCTCATATTCACCAGTGTCCATCGGGGCTAACGTAACATGAACATCAGTGGGAGGTAGCTAAATGATTTGTGTAATTAAATCTGCAGAAAAAATAATCGCAATCGATGTTAGAAAATGAGCAAGAACCTCGGGATCAAGTGAGATTAGCTATTAGCTCAGCTTTTAGTTAAGCTATGGACATATAGTATCGGATAAGTCATTATTAATATACACATTGCTGGCATGATTGACTGGTGTGTGTGTGTGTGTGTTCTGTAGAGCTGTTATGAAAAATGCAGTGAGTTAATCTTTAAGGGATAAACAGGGAAGCTCGCGTGTTTAACTCGCGGCTAGCAAGGAAAATGGGGGAAGGGGGTGCAACGTGAACCTTTAATTTTCTGCCCTGCCCTACCCAGGCCTCTGTTACATGGCAGGGACTAGTTCTTCATCCGGTCGGTGTCATAAGTCCAATGTTGTACCTGCAGCTTCAGTTAACACCGTTACTGGCCGTTTGTTTGCGGAAATATCTTGTCTAGCCAGACAGGAGCTAGGCCAGGAAGTTCTGCAAAATTAGCCAAGTTAGCTACTGTTGAGCTGACTAACTTATCGAAATCTCCCTGCAGGTCCGTTTGTTTGGAAACATTTCAATCGACCACTCGAGGAGGAAGTGCCGAATTAGCTCAAAGCAGCCATGCAACAAAGGGACAACAGAAGATGAGGCAGTCGATGGCAGCTACATGTTAGCTAGCCGACTCTTTTATAATCAGCTGGATTAGCGGTACAACCCCAAACCGTCTGCCATGGCAACCCATGATTTCGACAGTTTTGTGTAATCTCAAGATACTGACAGTCACACAAAGAACAAAACACAACCCATATTCACCCCACCACCGTGAGAAAAACAACACCCAGCTAGCACACAGCATGCTAACGGTGCTGTGTTGACAATTACCCGAGGCAGAGTACCAGGTCCCCGCATGAGATGCTTCTCTGCACACCGCTCGGTTGGACATCTTGGATCCCAAGCCGCCTATCTTGGTCTGCTTAACTCTTGTCAAGCGGAAAAAGGCAAATAAATTGCAAAAAGCCGATGTTAGCTAGTCCAGAAACAGAAACAAACGGCTGCTAGCTCGCTGGGTTGTAAAGACAAAGGGAGAGCGGAGAGACAGCTGGGCTAGCAGGCTTAACAAGCTCCGTCAGCTGGTTGCCGCGTTGTTGCCGGTTACTGAGTTAACAGCTAACTGTCACTGGGATCGACAAGCCTGGTGAAGTCTGCAATCATTAAAGACACAAACTACAAAGTGTTCTTGATGAGCTGACACCACACAGAGTGAAGTCAGAGAGCTGTCACAGTCTGGATCTGTGAGGTTCACTGGGTTTCCTGCAGGTGAGAGGCGTCCCTGACAAGCACACTCACATCAGAGCACTGTGATTGGCGGCTGGACTAAAACAACAGAGAGTGATTGGTGGAGAGATGCAGGGGGCGTGGCCGATGCTGGGACGATAGTTATGTTATTAAAGTGCTCTGAGCGTCACATGAGCGTGACAACAGTCCACCTCAGGGTCTGTACATACATGTGCAGATCTGGAAAATGGAAGGTCTATGTACACATAGACCTGAAGATACCATGACCTGGATGACTCACAGCCTTCACAGATAACTGGTGTTTACCAATCATTATAGAAGGTAAAAGATAAATGATTAGACACTACTTAAATTAATTCACAGGTTTACACGGAAGAAAATCAAACTCTAAAGAGATATAATAGCTCAGGTCCCATCATGGACTGCACTTTAACTCTTGGTTTATCTCTCTTATCTCTGTCTGTGCAATACAACGGTTCATGTGTTATCCATTCACTGTACATGTTCTAACACTCCAGCTATCTTTCTTGTTTTTACACTGTATATATAATGATTTTATTCCATTGCTATTTTTCTATATCCTTACATTAAAGTATTGCATGTTACTTATTATTACTTACTGATGCCTGTTTTTGACTTTTGCTGCAGGAATTTAGCAAATCTCCACATTGTGGGATTAATAAAGAATTATATATGTGTGTCATAGTCTTTGATGTTCAGAAATGTATCTATTTGCTGTCAAAAACTTGGACTGACAAGGGCGGGAAAAGTGATGTGCACGTGGTGCCATTCAGTTTGAATACAGACAAATCTCTATATATTCATTAAGAAATGTGAATGATTGGTGTGATTGGCTGATTAATTTATACCACTGATGAACAAAACTCACTTAACTTCAAGCCTTAAAACAAATATGGTCAGATTTTACTGTTGCCCATAGAATCATTAACTCTTTCCATCCATCTATTATTTATACTGCTAATCCTTCAAGGGTTGCAGGGGGAGCTGGAGTCAATCCTAGTTGACATGGGATGAGAGGCAGATCACACCAGTTTCATTGAGACACTGAATTGCTGCAATATATCTTGAATCTGGATTTTGGTTTTAAAGGACCATCTCAAAATCCAGATACATAAAATAAACCAACAAATTAGATTTGTGCTCATCTTCATCTTTTCATTCTTTTTAAATCCACAAATGTAAATTTGGTAACAAATATCTATTTTTGTTATTTTCTTTTGTTATATGCTGAACAAAATACATCTGATTTAAAAAAAGTCTATTAAACCTCATGACGTTTGTATCTCCTGACTCTCTTATCTTTCTGGAGTGTAACAAACCTCTACATCTTCTATTGTTTGTTGTTTTCTGCTCCTGAATAGTTCTCCACACTATTTCAAACACGACAGTTTTACGACACATGACGATGGTTTCCAGCTGTTGTTGTCAGCGGAAGCAGCAGAGAAGCTAACACGGGAGTCTGCAGTTAACAGCTAGAGATCGGTGTATTGATGCTGAGCTGTTGTTCTAATCACATTTGTGATGATAACAGTTTTATAGAACAGGTCTGATGCGATTATAAATGCGATTTAAAAGAATTTGACTGTATCACATTTTGAAGTGGGGAAGTCTGAAAAGAAGAAGGAGTCAGTGTCGCGAGAGTAATGTCGGCCAAAATAAACGCAAGTAAGAGCAAAGACTGCGGGGAAGTAATAAAAAACTACCACAAGCAGGCGTTTGAGAACATATCGAAGGCTCTAAGGATCGATGAGGATGATACAGGTTTGTTGTGTTCCTGTCAGCTGATGGTGTGGTGTGTGACCGCTCCACATTTACATATGTAACATGTATTAACAGGTGAAAAGGAGGAGGCTGTGCAGTGGTACAAGAAAGGTATAGCCGAGCTAGAAAAGGGGATCGCTGTGGAGATCACGCTACAAGGTAACATGCTAACCAACACCCAGATGTTTATGTTGTTTTATTTACATGACACCACCCAGAGGGAGGGGAAATACAAAATACGATCCCCTCTTTGCCTTGGTTTTTACCGCTCGACGTAATTGAGCTCAATTTGACCAATTTTCACTTATAATCTCTAATAATGCTGTTAATTTTAATTCTGGATGTAGTTGTACAGATTCTGCTTAGATAAATGTAGATATGGAAAAGAGCTTTAAAACAATATGAGAGCCATTTCTTTATGACCTACATTAAAGGAGTTGCTACCAGTCAAATTCAGAGTCCTCCCCAAAAAGTTCCAACTTTGTTCGACCGTATCTCCCTTAATTATGATCCGAGACATAAAACTTTGGTTCCATCAGTTTCTCATGTGACTCAGTTAGCATTTCATTATGATCTGTGACAGTGTGACCCAAGGGTGTGATGATTTGACACAGACTGACTCTTTAGCCTTATGTTCGTTGTTCTATTAGCAGGAGATCAGTATGACCGAGCAAAGAGACTACAAGATAAAATGGTCAACAATCTCACCATGGCAAATGACAGGCTTGCTCTGTTAGGTGAGTAGCATCTTGACTCTGTTCAACTGTTCATGTTACAAAGGCTGAGTAAGGATGCTGGAGATCAATACTGTTCTTGTTTCACAGAGGCAACACTGGCGTCTAAATGTAGATATGAACCCAAGAAGCCCTCGAATCATGTTCTTCAACAGCCAAAGCCTGTTCCTAAAAGCCAGCCTGGAGTGTCCGCTAACACCAGGCCCTCCAGTGCTGTCAGACCCCCGTCTAGATCCACTGATGCAAAGGTGACTTAATTACATTTAGACTCTTTTAAGGGTTGACATACTTTAAACGTCTCGTGTCCACTGAGGGTTGTATACTCATTCCAGTCCCACATACATTCCCACAGTTCCATTCATACTTGAATGAGGGTCTGCGTTCCACACATCCCACATTCCATTCCAGTAGGTGAATGTATTGTACTTAGAGCATGCACAGTCAACACCCTCACAAATGTGTATGTTGCACGGATGTCCACATAGGGGTCCGATCTATAAGTACTCTAGTGGGTGCAGCAGCCAGACCCTCTGCTGGTGATGCCACTGTGCTGTGAGGATATGTCTGGCTATGTGAGACTAGTTATTTGAAGTTGTCAGCCTCTGATGTGAGTATTGTTTTTTCCTGTCAAGGTGACCCCAAGGGTGGGAAGAGCTCAAAATGGAAAACCCACAGCCGTGAAACAGCCGCCAAAGAGGGATTTGAAAAACTTCAAGAATGTGGACAGCAAACTGGCCAACTTGATTCTAAATGAAATTGTAGACAGGTATTTAAAAGCAACGCCATTAGAACTGTTGTACATTTTGCTGTCATTGATGTGTGAATAAAAACAAACATGCTGCAGTTAAAGTGGTTTGCTCTGCTCATTGCAGCGGAGCGTCTGTATCATTTGAAGACATCGCGGGACAGGATCTGGCCAAGCAAGCACTCCAAGAGATTGTCATCCTCCCTGCCTTAAGACCAGAGGTGATCACTGAGTAACATATTGCCTCTGTTTAACATATTCATGTTTTTTCAGATTTTGATCTAATACTTTTTCTCATACCATTTACCATTCAGCTCTTTACTGGCCTGAGATCTCCAGCACGTGGTTTGCTTGTATTTGGTCCACCTGGAAATGGGAAAACCATGTTGGTAAGTTAAGCCTTTTGACATTTGCTTTTTCATCTGCATGTACCATTTGATAATCTAGTAACACTTTATATTAGGGAACACACAAAGTGAACATATCCAAGCACTTGATTGTAATTCATGTACAACAACTTCCTTACTTACCATGAATAAGCAGTAATTAGGAGGCTATTGAGGGAAAACTGTTAATCAATGGAGTAGTTGCAGAATAATGTCATTAAGAATAAGGCATTAATAAGTGCTTTTTAATTACTAATAAAGATCCAATATGCCTCTAATATCCGTGCTAATAAGCAACTAGTTAATGGTTGATATGTATTTCCTAATATAAAGTGTTACCAATAATCTTACTTCAGTGTTTTTGATAGAATAACAGCCTTTACTTCCTCTTTTAAGGCCAAAGCAGTCGCCGCTGAGTCAAATGCCACATTCTTCAACATCAGCGCCGCCAGTTTGACCTCTAAATATGTAAGAAAGTATTTTAGTTCTTAAACTAAAATTGGCTTTATCCTTTCTTTAAACTGTTCTGTCATCATCATTGCAGGTGGGAGAAGGCGAGAAGCTTGTTCGAGCACTTTTTGCAGTTGCCAGAGAATTACAGCCCTCTGTCATCTTTATTGGTTTGTATTACTCTATTTATAAAGTAGTAATGCTCCGAATAGCAAATTGTATCAACCAGATTTCAACTTATGAATAAGCCTCTAATTGTTTTTCTGGAATTTGACACTCAGATGAAGTGGACAGTTTGCTTTGTGAACGGCGGGAGGGAGAACACGATGCCTCTCGCCGATTAAAAACTGAGTTCCTCGTTGAGTTTGATGGGGTAAGAGCAGCCTCTGAAATTTGATCATGAACCATCTTTTAAGGTGCGTGTGCCAGCGTTATCTCAGACAGCACTGGTGTTGTTTTCACAACCGTACCTTTTGGTTGTAGGTGCAGTCAGGAGGGGATGATAGGGTACTTGTAATGGGAGCAACCAACAGGCCTCAGGAGCTTGATGAAGCAGTGCTAAGGTATATTATGCAATCTTACATTTATAGTAATAATATTAATGCATTTATTATTTGGTTAGTTTGGACAAGGTCTCCACAATTTTTCTTTTGTTTATCTGCAGGCGATTTGCAAAGAGGATTTATGTGGCACTGCCAGATGAACAGGTATTTACTGTCACAGTTCATAAACTGATTTTTTATCAGCTTTCAAATGATGTTTTTATTTTTCACAACTCTCTTTCCTCCAGACAAGGTTCACGCTGCTGAAGAACCTTCTGGGAAAGCATGGGAATCCTCTGAGCAAAAATGAGCTGTCCTGTCTTGCAAAGTGAGTATAATATTTAAATGCAATGCAGGTTTTACAATATCATTTTATTTGGCTTTGCATTCATTCCTGGATATTTCACTTGATAGAAAAACTGCAGGATATTCAGGCAGTGATCTGACGTCATTAGCCAAAGATGCTGCTCTGGGGCCAATTAGAGGTATCCCCCTTTATCACATCATTGTGTTGATCACTTACTCGTACCTTGTCCTCCATTATGGGCTTGATTTGCTTGATTTTTTTAATTTGTGAAATTTCTCTCACAGAGTTGGGACCAGACCAAGTCCGATCTATGGCTGCAAATGAGGTGAGATAATTTTAATAAAGTACTTGCAATACTACGTTTTTGTTCTTGACACTCATTTACCTTGATATGAGAAAGTATTTATCTGTATAGTTAATCTCCTTTGTATTCACAGATGCGAAACATCAAGATGAGAGATTTTGAGGATTCCCTGAAGCGCATCAAACCCAGTGTTAGCCCAACCACTCTTAA